TGTGCCCCCATTGAAACACAGGCCCAGCACCCCATGGCCCTGCTTCCCAGTGGCAAAGATGAGGGCACCACAATGCTGCAAAGTGGTGCTCAGATGTGGAAATGTTGGTGTGGGAGAAGGTTTGCAAACACCTCACTAGGTGAGGTGAAGGCACACAGGCTTGCTTTTGGCAGCTGCATATCCCACAGGATTAAGCATTACTTCCCTTTAAACACACACACAAACCTGCTGTATTCCATTTTAAAAAATCAACTTTTACTCAGTGGGTTTTTTTGGTGTTTTTCCTCTTTTGATTCTAATGAAACCTAGCAAAGGGGGGAACACTGGCTCTCAGCTGGGTACCTCACTGGATGCTCTGTCAAACAGCAAGGCAATTGGCTGACCTCGGTGCCCAGACCAGCGGATGTGTGATGTAGAAGACAGCAGTCCTGGGCTCCTTCTGTAGAGAGGGACCTGGTAAGAGAAAGCCAGAGGAGACTCACAAACCCTTCCCAGCAGAGCCCATGGGCCAGAGCAGCGAGCCCCTTTCTTGCACCTCGCCAGATCCCGCAGCAGGCAGACATGAGGACGGCACATACCAGGACCTCGTGGAACAGAGCAGCCCTTCCCAACAACAGCCATCATTTTCCTCCAAGGGAAGGAGATTTGAGACGAGAGCAGCAAGTCTGCCAGCACGGAGAAAAGGCTGCCAGACCACCTCAATCCCCACTCGTCAGGTTTCCTGCATTCCTGCCAGGACTATTCAAATATGGTATCCAAAGGTCCTCATTTTCATGGGGAAACGTGAGCAGTTCGTATGCTCCATGGCAGCTTGCTCACCTTTCACAGGGGACAAGGGCAGCCAAGTTGTGGCAGGTGGCTGCAGGGTGGCACAATGATATTCCTGCCCAAAATCTGGCCTGAGGTATGGGACAAGCGTGCTGGGTGGGTGCCAGCACAGGCTCGGGCTGTGTTGACTTCTCAGGGAGAACATGCTGTACCAAACATTTCTTATTGTATATCTTACATAAACAAAGCATTTAGCTCACCACCCAGCACTAGCTCATGGTAATAAATGCCTGCAACTTTCTGTGCTTCATATATTGAAGTTGCGTACCCAGGCTAGCTCAGGGACACACACAGGTTGCTCAGTTTGTACTGAGACTCTCTTTGCAATTCATTTAAGCTGAGAGTAATCAGTTACAGCTAGAAAAGGGAGTGGTAAACAGCATTTGCTGTGCAAATCTGACAGAGACTGACCAACCCTTGTAGGAAACCATCCCTTCCATTCCTCTTTGGGGAAAGATCCCCTGACAGGCCCAGGAACACTCCAGGACATTCCCTTCTCCAAAGAAACCCTGTTACCACTCAGCTTTGACTCCAAACCCATCAGCATTTTCACCTGGTAGATCACGACACACCCCTCCGCAGCGGGCATGCCCCTCTGCTGCCTGCACCATGGCAGGGCAGGGCGGATGCAACCCTAGCCAAAATCCAGCCCTTGCTCATAAATTCATCTCGCTTGATTTGCAGAGCAAGCAAGACACCGAGCAACCACATACATTCCCGATGGCCCTGCTGAAATTGTGTGAATAGCTCTATCCTGCTCTGAATTGCGGGATCGGGGCTCCCAAAGGGCTGCAGGGATCCTGCCTTAGAGTGGCTGGCTGCATTTTCTGAGGCTGCCTAAGGGAACACAGGGCTAGCAAAGGACCAGGCTAAGAGAGGAACAGCGCAAGGCTGTAGCACTGATCAGCTCTCAGAATCACTCGGAAATATCAGCAAAATATTCTCTAGAAAGGACAAAAAGTAGCTTCTAAATTTGCAAGGGGAAAAATACACCTAAATTTTTGCCCACATTCTCTCGCAGAAAATCCTGAAAAAATAACGCAACATACTAAAACCATGAAAAACCCCACATTTTCCATTAAAAATCCCTAAAAAAATCCCATAAGGAACTTGAACATGATGTAAGAAATTCATAGAGCTCGGTATTATCCAATTTGCTCTAAAAATAAAGTAAAACCCTTGATACAGCACCTCCCAGACTTCCATCTTAGGTTGCACTCCAGACAGTATTTTTGATATTTGTTTAAGCACACTACTCACATTCATGACCTATTAGAGGTACAAGGCAGATCTGGCAAACAGAAATATCATACCACCGAGCTCCTGGGGTCACTTGGTTTGTCTCTCTTGCAGAATATGACCTTCAAGATAGACTTCTTTTGAAACTGCATTTGGGAAGAAGGAATTTTCCTGCTCTCTCAGTTTTGCCTCCAATTTAACACTCTCTTTTTGTTTTCCTGTTTCTAGGACAGTAACACTGAGTGCAGCTGCCCCAGTCCCTGGAAAGCAGTCAGCAATACCTGCCCTCCAGCTACAGTGGTGAGACGTGCTGCAGCGGTGGCAGATGCTGCAGCACTGGGAGATGCTGTGGTGGTGGCAGATGCTGCAGCAGTGCAAGATGCTGTGGTGGTGCGAGATGCTGCGGCGGTGTGAGATGCTGCATCACTGCTCTCTCATCAAGTAAGCTTTCTCCTCCTTTCCTCTCATTTTTCACAGGTATTAATGCAACTGGAGCTGGATTTCAGATTCCTGTAGTATTTCCCTACCTGCATAGGTCTGCACATCAGGCAGAAGGTGTGATACGTGTTAAAAATTGCTCTTTTTGAGCATCTCCCATATGAGGAAGGGTTGCAAGAGCTGTAGCTGTTTAGCCTGGAGATGAGGAGACTTGAGGAGGGGATCTCATTAATGTTTATCAATATCTAGAGGGCAGGGATCAGGAGGATGGGATCAGACTCTTCTCAGTTGTGCACAGCAACAGGACAAGGGGCAGTGGTCACAAATTGAAACGCAGGAGGTTCAACCTAAACAGAAGGGAAAACTTCTTTACTGTGAAGGTGACAGAGCCCTGGCCCAGGCTGCCCAGAGAGGTTGTGGAGTCTCCTTCTCTGGAGCCATTCAAACCCACTTGGATGTGATCCTGTGTGGTCTTCTCTGGGTGATCCTGCTCTGGCAGGGGGTTGGACTGGATGATCTCCAGAGGTCCCTTCCAGCCCTGACCATGCTGTGATTCTGTAAAACGCGCAGTCTGTGCTCAAGCTCAGGGTGGGCACAGCTGAAGTACAGATACCACTGGGATCAGATAGTGCCGTTTAGCTTTTGTTTTGAGTTTGCAAAGATGCCAGTTAATGGCACAGTTGTGTTCATCGCCGACCTGTATTGCAGCAAATGTAGAAAGTCTCCACAACATCTCATTGCTCCTCTGAGCCTGCCACTTTGAACACCTGGTAATTTTCTTAGTATGAGGATTTGTTTTGCTGTAGTGTGACTGCGTTGTGCTCATTGCTAAGCGATTAACAGTTTGTCCTTCCAGAAATATTAAATGCCCCAAACACTATTAACTCCTCAGCACATTTTCAACAGAAGCATTCCAAGGGAAATGTGTTAGTGGCTCTTCCACTTTCTGGGACAAGCATCTCTCCGGCTACCAACTCCATTCCAGAACATCAGACCAGGAGAGGGAGAAGCATTTATTTGTGGTCTAGCCTCCGTTTGGCCAAGTTCTGTACAAACCTTTCCTCTTGCATCACTCTCAGACTGGCATATTTCTTGCATAATTCCATTTTCACAGGCACCAGTGAAGAAGCTTACCCCCACCCTAACAGTGAAGGATGGCTCCTGCACCAGGGTCCCATGGCTTCCAGGCACCAGCTGAGAGTTGGGACTTCCAGGGAGGCCAGATTGCTGGTTACCAACTGGCAGGCATAATTTCTGACCCATGGACTCAAAACTGCTAATGCAGGCTGCAAGAGTAACTTGTCAGAGTTAATTCCCTGAAGGTAATGATCTTTTGGTCACCCTCGGTCACCCAGACTGGGGAGAACCTTGCTGGCAATTGAGCAAGGTGCTAACAGGTCCCTCTTTTAGGTTAAGCCTATCAAACGTGATCCTGTCTGAACTGTCCAAAAGGACCAGTATATCTCCAGCAAAAGAAAATGTCTAATAATCATTAAGTGCCTTCAAAATACGATCAGTATTTGTCAGATACTTCCCACACACACTTTATTTTATTTACAAATGGGTAAACTTGCATACTGAGATGTGGGTAAATCTTAGGAGTCATACCATGGTTTTGCTTTTGGGTGTCAAGACGGAGTCACTTAGGCTTTCTGTACACAGTACCACAAAATTACATTAGTAATAGACATTTGAAATGCAAAGAAGTCTAGACAATTAGCAAGTCCTTTCCCTAAAGGCTGCTGGACGGTGCATGGGACTCAGCACAGCCATTTAGCAGTGGGACGTAGTATGTTTATTTCCTGGGGCATCACTGTCAGAAGTGACCACACTGAATCAAAGCTAAGGACCATCTGGCCTGTGAGGCTGTTACCTGTGATGAGAAAGGCATACAAATCTGCATGTGGTTGTACTTTCCCCCAAAAACACTCTCCTGCCTCCTGCAGGTTGCAGAACCGTGTCTCCACCCATTCTCAGGATCCCAGGCCTGAGCAAGCAGGAGGTGTAATTGGTGCATTTTTACATACATCTCTAGCCATATCTTTTTTAAAAAGAGACACAAAATAAAGATCAAAATTTTTTCTTACAGATAGATGTAGAAGTATCTGCACTGCTTTACTAACACATTCTCTAGTTAGAATGTCTTTTAGAGAATCAGCTTAAGGTATAATACTCAGCACCTACATGATTGTAGCCATCATGCAGTAGTCCTTTAGTATATTTTGTCTTTTTGCATTACACTAAACACTCGCCTGCTTTCAGTCTTTCACAAGATGATATTTTAAAAGTCGTCAATATATTTATTTGCCAGACTCTTTCTTCTATATAAAATCTGAGTGCTCATTGCCGAAAGGAAAGAAGTATAAATCACTATGTATGAGAAAAACAGATTCTCCTTCAAACTGCTGGTGAATAGGTGGCACGAAATGAGGGAAGGGAGAGAGAGAAGCATCACCACTGCAGGGACGGCCAGCACCCCACATCATGCCCAGTGCCTACACCAAGGACTCAGGTCTCCCTTTCCTGCCCACAGGGGTCTTAGCATCTCTGAGGCCGCTCCCTTTCCTCAAAGAGGAGCTATCTTGATGGCTGTTGAGCTGATAAACTCATCGCTTAAACAAGTGATGGAGCTTCTCCTGGAACTGGTTTCCAATGAAGCAGTAGAGCAAAGGGTTGATGCAACTGCTGGCGAATGCCATGCAGATGCTGAATGGCAGCACTGTATCAATGATCCCTGTCACGTCACAGTTGTCCATGATGTTCATATGAGCCAAGGCATCCAAAAATGTTAAAATGTGGAATGAGAGCCAGGAAATGAAGAAGGCCACAACAACGGCAGCTATAAACTTTAGGACTTTGTCTCTCTTCCGTTTGTTTTTTCCAAACTCTTGTGCTTTCAGCAAGTGCCTCCTGATCCAGATGTAGCACATGGTGATCACTGTCAAGGCGATGAAGAAGCCGAATGCATTTTTCAGGAAGGCTGCTCCCACATACCATTCTGCATAATTCTCATGAGGAAAGTCTATAATGCAAGCATCGACCCCCAAGCTCTCAATGTAGTGAGTGTCATGGAAATAAAAAGTTGGAAGGGAGGACAAACCGGCAAAGCCCCACAAAACCAATGCGATAAAATAAGCTTGTTGTGGAGTTCTTTCTTGAGAGTGAATAGGATGTGCAATAGCACGGTACCGGTCCACACTAAGGCACACAATGAAAAATATACTTGCAAACATGTTCAAGCAGAGGACAGAACTGGAGATTTTGCACATGAGAGACCCAAAGAGCCAGTTATACCTGTGTGCATAGTAGGTAGCCCAGAAGGGAAGGGTTGCGAGGCTCAGCAAATCTGCCATGGCCAGGTTGAAAATGTAGATATTAGCAACTGGTTTGGGGCCACTGTGACGACAAAGCACCACAACCACCACGCTGTTGCAAACCAACCCAAGAACGAAAACCAGAGAGAAGAGTGCTGGAACTAGTGAAAACTGATAGTCTGAAGAGGTAAGTGGGCAAGGAGGGGGCGGGCGCAATGCAGCTGATGAGTTTGTCAACACTGTATAGAAGACTTGGAGAGTTTCTGTGGTAGTGATGACCAGGGAGTAGTTGCTCTGCATGTTGGTGCTGGTGGAAAGGGAGGTTCTGCAGGAAATTCAAATGCTAGCATCACTTTTCTATCACGTCATCCACCTGCAGAGCAGAAACTGTGTGTTAGACATGCACTCTGCCCTTCTGGAGCTCTGGAAGCACACAGTCATGATAAAATAAAAAGCATTTAAAATTTTGTCAGTAAACTGAGGGCTGAAATACCAGGCAACCCTGCTGGACTCCTCCATCCCACTGACAGGACACAATTAGCCCTAGGGAAGTCACAGCACTTTTTAATTAGCCTGGCAGAGATGTGAGCAGCTGGATTTTATCTATGATTACCGAGGAGGCTTTCTGTGGCCAGCAGAACAGAAAGATTATTGACTCAGGAGCTGGAGCTACTTTGGGAACTTCTGGGACCAAAAGCAGCACTGCAGTTCCTCATGATCCTTTTCTCAGCTTTCTCATGCTATTTCCAGCACTCTGAGCAGTTAAAATTATGTAGAATGGGTACTTCACACCTGAGGGTCTCCCTGGACTTCACTGAAAGCAGCCTTTTAACAAGGCTATTAGGAAAGCAAGCTTTGACTTTTTTTTTCATTTACAGGGCTGGATACAAAGAGAGTAAAAGGTCTTTGCAAAATGTCATTTTTGCAGAAGGACTGTCAGAGTACTCCTCAATACAAATCGCATTTACACATGAAGAGTAAAAGAAATATTTTCAATGTAGATCCAAGCAACAGACAGTCAAGCACTCAGCCCTTGCAGGCATTGGATTTAACATTAGCATTTGCCATTCATTTAGAAAGATCAGAATTTTCACGGCTTCAGTAGGGGAATATGTAGCTACAAAACAGCTAAAATAGGAGAGTTACTTGACAGGTCTGTGTTTGTTCAACAGTTCATGTCTGCACTCTAAGCAAGGAATTTCTCAAAACATAAGACTTTATAGTCAATAAAAAAAAAACCATGACCAAATATTTTATTTGACATAATAGAAAGACAATTCCTTTTTAATTAAGTTCTTATGGAACCAGTCAGGCATTTAAGAATTCTTAAGGAGCCCTAAAAACAACAGAAATTTTAACCAAGACAACACAGCTGTCTCCCATTTAACAGGAGGCAACTGATCATTTCAAACTTATTTTTCTGTATTAACAGTTCAGTGTACCATAGCTTATAATCTGCTTGATGCAAGATATACAATATGCTACTTTGAATGTACTTGTAAAAATTTAAATGTAATTATATTGTCTTAAACAATGAAAAATCAGTAAGAGTTGCACATTGCTGCACAGTGCTGGTATTTAAGTCCCAAGTACTGGAGCACAAGCCCATGTTCTGTAATCAAACAGGGCTTAAACCAAATGAAAGCTTTTTGTTTGGGGAGGGCAAAGATTCAGGAGGGGGTCTGGAGCCCCATTTTGCTCTTATGTCCTAAACCCCTTGCTTTAACCTACAGAGGCTGATATCTCACAACTGGTCACAAAGCGTTATGAATCTGACTTACCCCTAACAGAGGGATCACACCAGAATTAATTATAGCTCCATTACTGAGAACAAGGTTTCATTGACAAACACGTTCCCTCCTCTGCACATGAACAACTGGTGGCTTAAAATCTTCTAACCCAGTCGTTCCTACCAGAACTTAAGACACGATGAGGCATTTTATCACAAATTGAATCAAATCAATGGAAATTATGTTCTAACAGCAGACAGAAAACATACCTCTCAAAGCTCACATTTGTCTGGATATCCCTCTAGAATTACACACTCCTTTTTTCTGCTTTCCTTCTGGCAAATATCACCAGCAGTGATCTGCTCTCTCATAGCTTCCCTTTTCCCACGGGGAGACTTTAACCCACATAACTCAAGAGCGGCAACGTAAACGCCTGTCAGCTTCTTTTTCTTTTGGAAGCTAAGCAATTTGAGACCCCTCGCCTCCTTTCCACGGTCACGTGAGCATATGTGGTAAACCAGGAGAGAGGAACTAGACAACCAAAACAATAACAAACAGAAAGCAAGAGAAAGGAATTTCACCGAATATCTGTGTGGGTTTCTGCTGCGGCTCTTGGGCCAAGAAGATACACACACATGCCTTCTGCCTCCCAGGTGCCCATGCAACACTTGTGAGTCTCCATACAAGGATCCATGCATCTCCCTAACCACTCTAGGGAGTCCCAGTGCTTGCCAGCACATTTGAGAGTGGAATAGGCTGTTAGTGCTGGCAGAGCTGGCTACCACGTGAACGCAGAGACAGAAAGCAGAGTAGCATCAAAGCGTTCACCCCAGCATTGCCTGTGGATGGGGCCTGATCCTCTCTCTCAATTAGTAGGATGGGAAAGCCACAGCCCCAGCACTTGCCAAGACACGTACACCACTCGAACCAAGGAGGATGGCAGGACAAATCCACGTGGCAGAGAGCAGCCTTGGCCTTGGGGTAGCACCCGACCAAAGCACACAGATTGGCAAGGCTGCACACTCCCACCGCATCCCATTCACACAGAACTCAGTTTTTACAGCTGCTTCTTCCTCACATCACATGCTGCACCTGACCCCAGCCTCCCCTCCCTGGAACGGGTTCCCATAGGGCTGCTGGAGGAAATGCACTGGGGCAAAGTAAGCACCCATAAGCCTTAAATATCCTGTCCTGATGCCCTGACCGTGATCATCTCTGCAGCAGCAGCCCATCTACGAGGCATGTGTGCAGCTGAGGCTGCATGTGCCAGATGGAAAGCAACCACAGAAGTCCCTGCCAGTGATGTGGCCCTTTGCCCCAGCCAGGTGCTGCTGGCTGGCCACCCATCACCAGCCAGGGCTGGACCTGAGCTTATCCCAGTCTTTGAACACAGGCACAGCCCTGCAGCGAGGGTTGCCCAACCGTGGTGGCTTGGGGAACTCCAGTGTCTGCCCTTGCTGTGGGACTGTGCAGCACATCAGAGGCAACAGGCACCGTGGGCTCTATAACCAGCTCTGCTGACACCAAGGTGACCCCGAAGAGAGATGAAACAGGTCAAATAGCCCATTACCAGCATCTCCAGAGGAGCCAAGGGCTGAGCATGCTGTGGAGAGCCTTCCTGCCCAGCTGTGTCTTTGACCCAGAAGGAGCTTCAGAGGGGGCTGCAAAAGTTCATCAGCAAACTCACATGCATCCGCTGGAGCAGAGCACTACTTCTTCAGGGCAGGGAGAGGAGTCCTTGGCCTCTTTGGGCTTTCTCTGCCTCATATTAAGAGTGCAGCTCTTGGAATTTCCTGTACAAAAGAAGATCGGGTTATTTAAATAAGGGGAATCCCACACAGCATCTCTATTTATCACAGTGTAGCTGATTTACTGCTTCACAGACACCACAACAAAGCAGTTGGTGGTCACAACTGTCAGGCTGCAAGCATGCACAGTACCTGTGCTTGGGGCAAATGCTGGAAGGGAAAGCAAGCTGAAATAGCTCAGTGAAATGACACGCTGCGAGCAGGTAACACAAACTCAAACATCACAAGTATATTAAAGGAAGGTAATACTAAAATATTGCACAGGGCAGGAGACCTCATCTGTCCCAAAGGCTCAAGCACTGCTTGTCACAACCAGCATTAGACAACACACATCAGCACATCCATGTTATCTTGAGATATAAACAAACCTCCCGAATGCACGCACCCTTTCCAAAAATGTTTAGTTCAGTTTTGGGATATTTCTTCCTTTTCCTTTTCCCACCCATTCCTCCCCGCCCTCATTTCAGGTTGTCATGTCATTTCTGTCTTCTGTCAGACAGAAGAGGAGAGATACCTTGGAACCACTGAAATTTGCATTAGTCAACAAAAAAAATAAAGAAAAGCTTGGGGTCTAAAAAAAGCCAAGACTTAACTAAAAAGCTTTAAGATTAAGATCTGCACTCAGTTCCCACCAAGACTTAACTAAAAAGCCTTAAGATTAAGATCTGCACTCAGTTCCCACATGCTAGAACCACTGCCAGGAGACTTGTTTTGTTCAAGAGGAATTAAACTGACAATGTGCCTTCTAGAGACACGCTGCAAGAACTCTTCCTTTTCTTCAACACAAACCTCTACCAAGCAGGCCAGTAGGAGCACATGGGACATGCAAGGGCAGAGGTCCCCTGTCCTACTGCAAAGGACAGGTGAGTGACCTGAGATGTCAGCACACACTCTGACCCATATCAATTCAATTTTTTTGTTAACAGTATGAGACACCTTCAGCCAGGAATTCTTGTTGCTAGTTGCTTTGCACACAAAGATCTTGCTCTGTCCTACATCAAACATCCAGCCTGCTTTGAAACCAGGGGAAAAAGTCAAATGCATGAGAATGTTTATTTTGCAAGATCATAAACACAAACTGTTTAGATTTAAATACAACATTTTCCTTTCCAGATGCACTTTTGATCCTCACAGATACTGACTGTGTCTATTCTGTTTTACCTCCAAAATGGTTTGAAATTTTGTGTTGGCCTCACGCCTCTTAGTAGATGAGAGATGGGTCTGATGCACCTGGTGAGAGGCTGTGGGTCACCTTCTCTGGAGACTTTCAAACCCGCCTGGACATGTTCCTGTGTGACCTTCTCTGGGTGATCCTGCTCTAGCAGGGGTTGGGTTGGATGATCTTCAGAGGTCCCTTCCAACTCCTGTGATTTTGAGGTCGTACCTCAGACTGCCCTTTGCCAAATCCTGTTCCCACTCTTCACTCCACCAGTGCTCAATGTATCCAGTTCCCTATCTGCTCCCAAGTTCTCACTCCAAAGCTCCATTTAGCCAATGTACAAAACCCCTCACTCTATTTCCCACACTGTTTCTCTCTCTCCCGTTATTTCTGAGCATTGCCTGGACATGAATGGCTGTGAGACAGAAGGTACAACCAATACAGATACCCAGGCTGGCCATGGACAAACCAACCCTGTGCCACGCAGCGCTGCAGCTGAGCTAATGCCCCCTGAGCTCGCAGGACATGGTTGTCCGATGTCCGCAGACAGACTGGTAAATCCAGCATGTGGATCCGCTCCGTCAGAGCCCAGCACAAGGACAG